TCATGAGCCTTCGTATGCAAGATGGCGGTGCAAGAAGGCGGCTGCCTGTGTGGCGACCCGCGACCATGGAGATATAAACAGCTTTTTATAAGGTAAAAATAATAAAACAAGGTCTTTGTCTGCAATGATTAGACATGTTTTTTATTATTGTAATTAGTGATTATCTCAGTTTCGGCTAAAAGAATTGATAAAATCCTACACACTGTGCCTTTAAGTTTACCTTACGTTTTATATACGACTCTCAGCTACCACCACAACAGATTTTAGCTCAATCTTTGTAAGACTGAGTTGGAGCTATTTTTCTGTTGGCTAAGGTTGATAAGCTGACAGCCATGTTGAATCAGGCAGACGTTTAATCAGTCCAGTAGTGTTTACAAAAACGTCTTTCTGATGGTTTTATTAAAATTTGTTTAATTTAGATGTTTTGCTGACAAATGCACATGAAGACAAACTTTACTGCACACCTTTCACCTTAACGTCTCGGGCGTTAAAAAGCACTCACATGTGTGTTCCTATTTCTTTGACTTCATGATGGATGACGTCATCAATGCAGCACTCGGGTTTGAGCTCTGCCACCGCAGAGTTGGACGCAGAGAGACTGAGCCTCTGGGAGCTCGTCTGGAGATCAGCCTGAAATTGTAATTTGATGAAGGCGTCACACACAATCAACAACATTTGATTTGTGCCGTCACTTCCTGTTTTGTGATACCTTCACAAGAATGTCTTTTACAATCTGGTTGCTGTCGTTATGCACACTTATATAACTGGAGAACGTCTCCCCGAGAAAAATATTTCTGCAGAATGCAAAGAGAATTGTGTCGAACACATAAACTTGCTTGTTCAATTACAGGTGAAAGCAAACAGTGAGGTTTTTATTACCCAAAGTTCTGTGGTAATGTCAGCATCTCTCCCAGCATTAGTGTCTCTGCTCCTTTGATGGTGGAGGGGTCGTCTCTCATGAGCTGACTGAACAGATCCCCTGTGAGAACACAAACCAGTTCTTAAAAACTTGAATCGAGGATTATTATTACTGAACTACACCGGTGTCAATCATTTTCATTTCAGCGGCTCTGCTGAGCTTTTAAAAAGTCCAGTCCTGCTTGCAGCCGTTCCAGCAAAACTTGGAAAGATGAAAGAAGTTGTAGGAGATGGCACAATGTCTGTGCACAGAGGAGACGGAGCAGAGACACAGGCTGTGTCTCAATTCATGGGCTGGGTCCTCATGAGGATCCAACCTAGCTGGGCCACGTAGGCCACATCCTTGCTGGGCCGGGTAGGATGCTCAAAACTGCTGTGAAATGAGACGGTCCAGCCTTCGCCTGACGTCGGCTTCACGTGGGTTTGCGTGACCACGTGCTCCCCCGTTACCATAGTGATCAGTTTCATGTCGGACTTAAAGTGCGTCGGGACGTGTGTTTACACATCTTTTTACTAGAAGAATAAATTC